GCGAACAATAACATTTTGTAGCTGTGTCTTTTCGCCAGATATATATTATTTTCATCAAACAAATCCTAGACATGGTCGTATTCGATTGTAACACTATAAACGCTCGTGTATTTATGAGAAATTTAAATGTTTATAGTGTCGGCACTCGAATGTTACATTCGAGAGTTAGTCGATCTTGGCTGTTCCTTTGAAACTGTACGCCGAGAAGGTTAATTGAAACCAAAAATTCAATTACAAATACTCCCTAGGATTTAATTCAATCGGCTAAAAGTAACCCGCTTATATTGTGTAATTTGTTTTTACAGCCCTTCGATTGTGCCAAAAGTTCGTTTGTCATATGGACGCCCTCGTTCTCCAAGTAATTATTACAGTATAGCAATCGTGTATGTGTACAGTAATTACTATGTGAGCCGGATTTCGGTCTACCGTGAAGCGCATGCAGCGATATGACTTTGTTAATCGAGGCCGGGTGACATCCCTTAAAGATGTTTGTTTCTAACCGGAGTTGAGCGTAATTATGAAAATGTCGTTATCAAGATGATACGCGATACGCCTCAACGGCTGTGCAATAAAAAGGATAGAGCTAAGTGAGAAGGCTGAAATATCAATTATATTTTATTTTCTTACGACGGACCTTCAGAAAGAAAATGTCGGTGGAGACCATTAGTTGCCCGGCAAAATCAAAAGGAATGCGACTTGAATGGATCGTGTTCTTGAGCTTTGTGAGCAACACTCGGTCTCAAGGTCAACTAAAAACCGTAGAACGGTATCTTATGTTAGGTATTAGTTACGAAGAATTGTTGTTATCGTCTAATCGGTTAAGGACAGTAATTGATAGTAAAACGTTTAAAACCGTCATTTGTTTTACAAAGTAGTCTTATTAAAACTCGAGGCGCTGTAGTGAAAAAACAACAATGTTTTTTTCATTTGTTCGGTGAACAAATGAGCACACGGTAAAAGAGTTGGGTCTGAGTGACTTTTGAATTTAGATTAGCTAAAAAAAGTATGGCCGACACTCTCACGCCATTACATTTTGTACACTTTACAGCCGTTGTAGTGTAATAATAAAAACAGTGTGCCGGTGTCGCCACCAAAGCCGCGCGGGGCGCACTACATGTTAATTACGCGTTGGCCAGTTTACAGGTGCCGCGAGCTAACGAATTTTCATATGGCCGCCGCTGACGGAATCTAATCGAGTTTTACCTTAGCCCGCGTCGTCTGCCGGCACGTTTTGGAAACATAATTTCGGGACACCACAGCGGCCTAGTGTATTATCCGCGCGAAGGCGGAGTGGGGCGACGTTACCATGCGGGTGCCCGTCGTCGTCGTCGTGGCGTGGCGTGCTAGTGAAACCAGCCGAAAAACGTTTTCAAACACTTGTTCCATTTGTGTAACAGGAGGACAACGCACGTCTGGCAAATTGAATGTTTTCCGGCGGTGTACACTCCGAAACGGTCGACTTGCTATTAATACGTGTGTAACAATGGGCCGAGTTGAATGCGTTTACGTTGTATATGAACGGCAGAAGCATCACGTGACAGCGCCGGCCAATTTTCATTAAATTATGCTAAACATGCACTTACCCTCCACCCAAACATAAACACGTCGTTACTGCAGTTTTTACTTCACGAATACGAAATTACAGTAATTTATGACGCTAATGTAAACCATCGTGATATTATATTAATATAAATCTTGTGCTCAGTAGAATGTTTGATCATATGCACACGAAAGCCGAGGCATTTAAGACCCCGCGGTATTATTTACACGTACCTTAGTTATCACGTGTATAAACGCGTTGTATGGTATGCGAATTGGGCCAACGCCGACATATTAATCAAAGTGACCAGTAAACGCTACTCCGGTGGAAATATAACCCAAACGATAATAATGACACTACCACCGACATATGTGGTCGGATGACACAGTCAGATGTATTTTATCATTTTCGATCGGACTTTGGGTGACGAGTATGCGGAAATGTTAGCATGTGTCCGGAAAATGCGGGTCTCGGTAGGAAAAAGCCGTCGGTCGACCTTAACCGCAACATTTGCACTCTTTTACCGAATCCTTGTAAGCCATTCGAATAACATTGCGAACCAGCCACTTGTGACGTATTTTGAACGACAAGTTTCCGGGTGCCTCTCCTCTTCCCGTCGTTTATTATATTTTCTGGAAAACGGAAATTCCTCTAACACTGTTCTTACAGTGTACACTAATGTTTGACATTTTCACGAATTCTGTTATTTTAAGAGTTCAGATGAAAATTCTCGAGTATAAAAAAATAACAAGATTTTCACTTTTTTTTCCTTCTTTTTATTAAATATCTTATTATTATTTTTATCTCTCTATTCTTATGATGGCATACGCTTTTATCCGACATGAAATTGAACGAGACTTTTATAAAGAAAAAAAGAGCCAATTACGTTAGTTTGGAGTTGTTTACAATGTCAGTAATAAAAAGATTAATATCGTCAAATTTTTCTGACGATCGATTAATACTGTTTGGAATCTCGATGCACATACAAAATGTATTTATTAATAAAGGACAAGAGCAACGACGTTGAGTCAAAACCGCTTTAGATTTCATAAAAAAAAAGTATATTTAGCTCTGGCATAGATTTTTTTTTGTATAAAAATTGAAATGTAAACGTTTTAATTGTACTTTGCAAATTATATGTTTTTTTACCAGTAAAAGATTAAGAACTTAATAATGTTAGCCTTAAATACGTTTAACACGAGACCGTCAAACATTTTTGCGCTATCCTAATAAATAACATACCGCAAAGAAGAAAGCCTTAATTTTATGTACGCTTATATTTATACAAATTTTAAATTTATTAAGCAAACCAACGTTTTAATTAAAAATCTAACTTTTTTATACTTCTTAGACAGAGTCTCGGCTCAGACTAAGTTACTTAATTTATATTGTTCATTACACAATGAATATTACTTCATTAATTTTTTATTTTTCAAAACCGTTTTCTTTGTCGCACCACTCGTGAAGAATAATCCCCATTGTCAATGAAAAGCTTTTACCTGTGCGTTTATTAGTAACATCTACAGATTGGGTACGGCGATGTCGCTCATCGCAAAGTAAATAGAAGATACTGTAAGTTGTTTGCAAGATGCATTTACTTAATATAATCATTTTTCGTACCTACAGGGAATATTTTATATTAACTTAATGTTCTTTCTTTCGTTACATAAGTAGCTGAAAAAAAAAAAGAAACGTTGTTTATGATACCATTCAGCTAGATTAAGAGAAAAAAAACAACTTGACGTTCGGAACTCATTTATATTTTATATGTATACACGAGTTGGATACATTCTATACGATTCAACGCAAGTCGTAGGAAATTCGCCTAAGTGCTTTTAAAAACTTCTAACTTATTAGTGAATGGATAAAATGAAAAATAGAGCGAGATCTAATAATAAACGAACAGTAAAAATCTCATTAATTGGCAGCTTTGAAAAACGTTTCTTATTTCAATCATACCGAAGGAAGATTAATTATGAACAGAATACCTAAACGTCTTACTTCAATACTAGGTTATCAAATATATTATTATCTTAACCAATTATTCTTGATATCACTTCAAGTTTTTTCTGTTTATGAAACGATACGACACGTATCAATAACGTTTTACTTTTCTACTATTAAAACGAAATAATAACATTTGAGTAGAAGTATTTTAGGGTACGAGCCGAGAAATAAGATGGGAGTAAATGATAACCTATATAGGAGAAACACATAATTCCTAGATGGATTTTGCACACAAAATGGTTTTGCTAGTAATACTTTACAGTATTTGTGGTGGTAGATGTTCAGCGGATAATGTATGACCCACGAAAGTGCAGTTTCTGGGAATCGGTATCAGTCCTCGGGGCAATTTCAATATAACATTTTATTTCCTTTTTTTCTTATATTTCTTACCTTAATTTCACGTCACAATCATAGCGCGTCTGAAAATGAAACATTAGAAAGATATTTAACGGAGTTCATGGGGATAAAAAGTTTTCTTACTAATGTCTTGATGAAAATAAAGGTTAACTCATTTACTTACCAGAGACACCTTGTCTGTAATACAACTGCATAATTTTTTTCTTGACACTTTATAAATATTACTAGATTTGTTTAAATTGCAAATGACAGTCGTCATGAAATTCGTTTCATTTTAATTTTAATTTTATAAAAAAAACATTTAAATAACATTTTGTCTACAAGTTTTAAGCGTAGACAGTAATTAATTAAATGAGACTAATTTAATTTTTATTCTTTTAGTTTTTAAATAAGACGTTTAGAATCTTCAAGGCTCTGTTCATAAAATATATAAAATTACTTCTTACATTTTGTTTAAGTTGCTACCTCTTAATATCATTATATTTTATGATACACAATTTAATTGTTTTTGCGTTTAATTAACTTTTGTTAAACATAATACAGATTACTTCTCTATCGAATAATTATACAATAAAATTTTCCAAACTTGTTAAGCCAACTGTGTTAGTTTAAATATAGTTTCCATATATGAATATAAATAAATTAAATAATGAGTAATCAACAAATAATATACGAATAACCTCTTGTAGTGTTCACCTTGAAATAAATCAATATTTTTTCTCTGATTTTGTTGAATTCACCTGGTTTGTTTATTTAATAACGCTTGGCAGCGATTTAACTTTTTTGTTTCGACAAACTTGTCTGTTACACTTTAATACGACTTCCTCGCAAGTGCGATATCAAACTTAATACAATTTTCATTTACCATTAGAAAACTTTAATCTTTCGTTTTACCTTTCATGTGTCTAACAGATTAGGAAGTTTTATTGAGAAAAACTGAATTTGCCCTATTATTGGTCTTTGGAAATTTGTTTAGTTCTCTTGTCGAATAATAAAATAAATTGTTAAAGTTTTCAAAAAAAGTCAATTCATAAAATATTTTATAGTAATAATCTCTCAAAAAAGAAAAAAAAAATCATACTGTTTTATATTATTTTACAATTTTTAAAAATTGTATTTTTACTGCGTTGACTTTGTTCAATACATTTTTTTATCCAGTATATTATTAAAATATTTAATTTATTTAAAGAATTTCTATTGCACCGTTTGTGATTACTGTAATGCAATTTTTAACTGACAGTTTGTGACCGTTCAGAGTTTACGCGACAAGGGTGTAAACATTTGACACGAAATAATCTATCTAAATAGATTGTTTTCTTTTTGAAATCGTTCGGAGTTAAAACTTGTATATACAGTTTATCCGTTTTATTGTATGGAATTAAATTGAACTTTAAGCTATCGTGGCCTCGCTATGAAAATCAGCAGGTCGATAATCAAGAGAGAAAGAAAGAGAGAGGATGAAAACAAACAATATGTGTAATATGTTAAAATGTTTTAATGCTAATACCATTCGTAACTGTTGCTATATCGTCACAGTAGGTATCGATTGTGTTTTTTAATAATGTTATTATAACAAGATTGTGTATCGCTACAGTTATGTTACATAGGAAGTCCTAAACGTTTACAAACATACTCATAAATAATAATAATTACCAATAAAAACTATTAACGACAGTCGTTATTTCGAACAATAAGAATACATTTGCTGTAGAAGAAAAAATAGCAAATCCGCACAACTGTAAAATATTACAAAATTCGATAAATATTTCTGTCAACACTATTTATATAAATATATTGTCTTGAGTTTATAAAACAGGGTAATTGCTTGTAACCACATTCTACTTGTATGTTTTGTGCGTAAAGTTCGGTAATTTTTATCATTTTCAACACGATAAATTGAATGGCAACATAGAATGGAGTTTTTTTTTTTCAATTATTTCTATATTGAAAGCATAATGTTTTATAATTAAAAAATACGTTTTTTTTTTTATATACTCGAGAGTTTTTTCGAGTTTTAATGAAAATTCGTTGAAGTTTTTCCGTCTCGAATAGTTTTGAACGTTTCAAAGTAAACTAGTTACTTATTTGTGTTAAATTTGTAAAGTAGTGAGTCATCCGAAAGTTAAAAATAAAGTAGACAATTGCTTTTCAATACGCATATAGAATTTTTTGACAGAGTATTTTTTTATTACTCATAAGTAGCGCGTATACTGTAGCGGATTGAATTACCGAGAAGTACCACTTTACTGGAGAGTTCATTTAGGAGCAGCACAACAGGAGTCTATTTTATCAATACAACGGCGAAAAATTCAAGTGTTTGTGGTGACCGGTGGACAAATTAGTTGGGTTTAAAAGCGGAATACTCGTGTGCGGCTAAGGCGACGGGAACCAGTGGCGGCGGCGGCGGACCTTGGCCCGGGCGCGTTATCATCCGCAGCGTGCGGTATAAACGAGATAATTGAAAGGCCATGTCCACTGTCGACACAGCGTGTGATAAGGGCCTCCCACCGCTACTGCAACTTTGTTATTTTGTGTCCCCCACATATTGACAGTTTTCCAAACGGTGTTCCATGGCTTGGTGACATCGAAGCCACCAGTCGCAGATATAATTTCACGTTCGACGAGTGACGTGCGGTACCGAGTGTTCGTGTGTGCGTCCGAGCCGCGTACAAGTTTTCGATCTTTAAAATGGATCTGCCACCGCCGCCACCGTCTGGGAGCGGCGGCTTTTTGTCAAACCGCCGGATCAAGCTGACGGCCGTTTTTCCGATGATCATCGGCACTCGGCATCAGCGGAACATCTCCAAGTCGGACTCCTCATCGCTGGAGAAGAGCGGTCGGCCGCCGCGTAAGCCATCACTGCCCAAGTCTTCGCGTCAACCGCCCGTAACGGAACGTGTTTCACCGACCGCCGCCGACACGGCTCGAAACAGAATCCGACGCGGTTCCAGTCTCACCGATCTCAACAGATCCGATTCTCTGGCAGGTATAATACGTGTCACATACGATTACAAGTCACCCTCAGCGCACCGTGTTGTGCGTTATACCGTAGTAATGGCTGTGTAAAAAAAAAAAAAAATACCGAAGCTGTTGCAAAAACCACCGCGTTAATTTGCAGGCTGTTGCGCTTGCAAGTGAACGCACCCCCACTCGGTTGTGCCTCTGCTCGGTATCTGTGACGACGCGTCATACTTCCGCCGTCAATCCGAATGATAAAACAATCGCTGTTGCTCTGTCAAATTCAAAAGATAATAACAGTACAATAACTTTAATGCAAACCAATAACTACAGTAACTTATACGGGTGCTCTGTTTGCTTTGAAACTTTACTTAGGCCACGAGTATCACGATTGTAATTGCGGTTCGATAAACTTTAAGGGATGTGGCCTCTTCGTGGAATTATTGAAAACGTTCACGTCTAGGACATTTTATAATCCGCTGCGGGGCAGGGGTTAAGTTAAATTACTTACAAATTATACGCCATGTTTCAATGAAACGCCTTTCTAAACTATAAATTAGATTCGGTTCGGCCTTCTGAATACTTGATCAATTAATTAATTGCAGTTGATTGTTGACGAGACAATCGTCATTAAACATGTTAAAGCTTAAATTTTTATTGTACTTACTAAGACTTCTCTAATTTTTTAAAATTAATATTATCATAAAAATATTAATTAGTAAGAAAAATAAAAGATCTCAAATATGTCTTATCCAAGTTAAAAATAAATAAATTGAATATTCTTATTGTTCAAAAGGTTTACCTCCATAGTTAAAAAGTACCCATTTACTAAACATAAAAGTATTCTTACATATTTGGCGTAATTAACAACTGGTTTTAAACCTTTTAAGATAATTATTCCTTTACGGTAGAGTTTAAAGGACCTTTATAATTTTAAAATCTCATTTGTCAAGGATAAACCATTACGTCGTTATTGTTTAATATTGTAAAATGAACAATGTGTACGTGAATGGAGATACGTAATATGTAATTTTGAGAAGACATTTTTGTCCTTCTAAAAATGTGAAAATAACTTAAAAGCAAAATTTAGTTTTGTGGATTTTAATAAGACGTCCAAAAATCGCGATGAATCATCGTGAAATAATGGCACGTGGTCTCTATAAGGGTAAAAAAAAGTTGTGTGTCTTGCACGACCATTCAAATTCATATATTGCTTCAATGCACAATTCGTGACACTTTTACAAAACATAGACATTTTGTTAAATTTATATAACCGCCTGAATACGTAGATTGTTTAAAATCAGCTGCAATGTAGGGGTTGAAAAGTAATAATTCTGCCCCCCCCCCAAAAAAAAAAAGAGAAAAAATTACACGATAATAAAAACAGCAATTACAATTAAACACTGTGGTATGTTCTTTTAAAAGGTCGCGTTTTAATGAAAATGTTGGAAATGCAAGAGTTATAAATAACCACTAGTTTTTAATCAGTCTTGAAATTCTGTTGTTTCTGGCCCGGCGTCAGAAAGACAAAGTGCACAAATCCTACTAGGCGTGTATTCTCTTTTGATATTGATTGAGTTTAGCGAGTGAAACACACCGCCCAAAAAAGCTGGGGTGGCCCTTTTATTTCACGAGTTTGATACCGGCTCCGGTTTAAGTACAGGATTATAAAAGAACAAAAAACCATACACACGCACAATACGGTTTAACTTGACGGTTGTTATTTTTACTTTTTAAAATAAAAACAAGTTAGAGAAAATTAATCTGAAAAATAAACAACCTCATAAAAACATTTCCCTAGAACCTATTTATTGTTACTGTTTATGTTTTATAGGAAATTTAATAACCGCCTTTAGAATGTCGACGTTACAAGGGAGTTTTGATTACGTTAACCATAATGTATTCATACGTATAATAAAATTGAGACTAACAAATATCAATTTTATTTGTTCAAAATATCACATTAATAATGAATAATTTTTGTATCAATAATGTTTTACAATAATTGGCATTAATTTTTTTGTATACTAATTATTTTTTCAATCGATATGCCGTTATTATTTTTAAACGATTATACTTTTACAAATAAATTAAAATCAGTGAATATCAAAACTTAAAGCGATAAATTATACACTATAAAAGTAATTAAGAAAGTTGAAACCATAGACAACGAGAAGACTAAAATTTCATATTAAATTAAATTCCTTTCTTATTAAGCGGCGTTTGCTTTAATATAACATCTAATAATTAAACTGATAATGAAATATTATGTTCTATTTAATTCATTCAAAATAGTTGATATTATTTTGAGTAAAAATTAATTATTGAGGATATCGAGTTTTGAAATTATTACTTATTGATTTAGAACCGGGTCTCATCTTGAGAATATAACTGAATTTAATTACACGTCGACTTTCTACATAAATTATGTTTATATTGTTAACTCTGATATGCTAGTATTGTATTAGTAATTTTGGTTTGTTTTTCATTTGATTTTCTCTTAATGTTTTTTCGTCAACCTCGATTATATGTTAAAAAAATATAACTCTTTTCGTTGGATGATTTATAAAGATTCCAATGGAAGTTTTGGTGACCTAATGAATCTAAAGCGGTTTTACGATGATTCTTCAATTGGCTCTGCCGAGAATTTGGTTGCTCGAGCCGTACCCTTGTCTACGGTTTTTTGCAGTCGTCACCATTATGGTAGTGGTGGTATTGGATCCGAAGAGAGTATATTGGCCATCGAGACTGGAGCTGTGACGGCACCCAGCACGCCTTCGGCTTATCATCATAGGACAAGATTCGACTTGCAGCCCCGTAGATATGCCTTAGCGGAACACCATAAAGCCGATCAAAGTCACTATACAACAGCAGGCATCGGGATACGGGCCAAGCAACAGTCCCGGGCCGATATGACCAGCCAGCAACGCATCGAACGAATGTCCAGAATCATGAAGCAAAACCACCATCGAGTCGAACCCTCCCGATTCCGGCACACCTTGACTTTAGTAAGTGACCATTAGATTCATGTGTTTATATTAAATAACGTTACCTCGTCCCTCCCTAAGTAATCATTGTGGTTTGACCGACAAACAAATTACCCCAACGAGTGCCATCAATCGCTTGGAACGTACGTTATAGATCAAAATATTCGAATCCCAAAAGCCTCATTGCTTTCCCTTCCATACTGTTATTCCGTGACGGAAGCTTTGTATAAGATAAACGATACCGTCGTTGACATTAAGTTTCCCTCTAGCCTGTGTATACATCAACAAACGCTTAACCGCATACGTGTATCAACATTGTTGGTAATAAAGTTGTTCTTACGGAGGAGAGATGAAAAGTGTATCATGTATCTGTTGTGCGCCTATTCAAAACGATCGGCTGATAAGAGATAGCTTTCTGCTACACTTGGCCGAATGCCGTATGAATGTAACTTTACACGATATAAATTTACGGTGCTTTCATTTGAGTATAAACATTTTGTAATTTATTTATAGTGTATAGCGGGCGGTATCAACTGCACGGCACGGCGTCGGCTTAATTTGTTGAATTGCAGTGCATCGGCACGCACGTCAAACACACTGTGCCAGCCAAACCCATCGACGTTATTGTTATATGATAGGCCTTGAGCTAACATACCGTGTTCCTTAAAAATTGTTTAATCCAGATAATGGTTACAATAGAGAGGTTCTCAAAGAGAATATTATTATATTCACAAATGTTTAAGGATCTGACTGGTTTTTATTTGTTAAAAAAATAATAATTACTACACTTGTGCACTGTTGTTTGAATTACACTTAGATGAAATGTTTAAAACAGAATGTGTTTTTTTTTCACTTAAAATATGTCGTTAGTCAGTACCATTCACGAACTAATAAAAATATTTGATTCAAAATAGTTAGGAAAAATAATTTAAGTGTAAAATGTAAAACAAACCTTTTATTTATTTTTTTTAGAATTTAAAATTATGTGAATAAATTAAAAAATCCATCTTAGAATGAAATAAATTTAAACCAAGTACAAAAAACGAATGATAAGACTTTTTTTTAATTTAAATATCAGTCAAGGTAAAGCGAATACTTAATTTAATTAACATATATTTTTTTTAAGGTACAGAAAATGGCTGTTATTTAACGAATTAAACTTTATTTGACCTCTAAATGTTGAAGTTATAATAAAAATAGTTATGAATATTTTTACATTTAAAAAAAGCTTTCGCCAATGTTATAATTATATTATTCTTCTTACCATATAAATGCAAACTTATCCATGATAGTCGGAAATTACAGTTGAAATAGGCTTTGATGTTATATTTGTAGTGTTATTAAAAACAATAATACTACTCTCCTGTGTTGATTACTAATAAGACTCAGAAAGTATCTTGTGGTATAAGAACTCTGCAAACATTATTTGTATTTGGTGAACAACTTGCTTTGATTTATAAGGAATTATGTGGTGTTGGGTAGGTAATCTCCTAAGGGTAAAACTCATTCATGGTGTGGGTCTTTTGTATGGTTGGGTTTGTGCGTGCACACGACCACACGAATTTCTAATTAAATGACAGACATTCCATTTTCGTTTGATCTAGATTAGTTAATATTCTTTTTTGTTTGTATTATGACTGTTTATGTTTCTTGTAATATTTACTGAGCTCGCTGCGAAAAGACAGCGAAAAGTTGACAAACGAGAAATTGAGCTCCTTAAAAAATCAATTATTTGAAGAGATAAGGAAAAATAGTCAGGGAATAGTAATTATTTGCTGTACAAATTCCTTAAAGTTTTAGACATTTGCTATTTATTTCAGTATTTAATTAATCATTATTTTTCTTGTAAGACTTTGGAAAATATTAATGGCAAAGTTTGATTTATTATGAACAATCTATTTGTATCACTATTGTATTATCACAAAAAAAGAAAATAGGTTTGGAAACACATCTAATTTACAATTTAACAAAATTAGTTTCATTTAATTACTGCTTATTTTTGTTTATTAAGGTATCATTTAAACATAAATTTCAATACTTAATTAAAAAATCTAATATTTTTTGTTGTTATTATTAAAAGAATAAACTCTTGATTTCCAGCGTGAAATAAAAAAATATAGTTCTTTACTGAAAAATTTTAATTGCTAATTTAAGTAATAGGTGGGGATTAAATTTATTTTCATAATATGGTTAGTGGCACAATTTCATTTATTGCTGTAATATGTTAATTTGCCATAGTCATGGTAGCAAAACAAAATGTATGTACACATACAATGCAAGTTATACTTAAAACACGCAAGTCGTATACACGAGAGCTTATGGATTGAAAATCATTCTGACCGTAAGTATTACATTGTACACGTTGAGCAATTACACTTGTTGTTAGTATGACGAACGTTATAACGCAACACCATATAGATTAACACGAAATTACATTGAAACATAGTAAAATTATGAATTTTTCGATAAACTGTTTTCTTCTTCAATCACTATTAATATTATTTTTCACACCACCGAATTTGTTTAGCTACCATCGTATTAATACATTGTTATATAGCCTTATTGGACATTATGGTTCGAGAACTAACAAATTTGGCTAGATGCCAGTACTCATAGTTTTGTTAGGGTGCCCTTATCGATTAACTGTATAGTACAGGGTCAAAAAATTATTGTTTTTAGCCGTTTGTATGGACCATAATGTTTATCACATGCCGGTAAGCCTAATAAAATAGGGTAATGCAATTTTACTTTATAAAGCAAACAAAAGAATCAATTTTGCGGTCAGTGTTCATTGTTATATAATACAATCAGAAAAATCAATTTTGATGACGTGCGTTCATTGTAAGTTGTATTTAACAACTCTAAATGGGATCGTAACTAATGATCTGTCAATTCGATTTAGCAAAGTAACAATTCGTTACTTTCGCTTTAAATAACATCAGCGAAATAATATAATTTTATTAATGTTTATTTGAATCAGTCAAACATTTTAACTTGGTATCATTATTTTGTTTTATTCAAATATTTCATCGGAATTTCATAATAACTCTGTTTTACTTTGAAAATAAAGGCTAAATGTTTGTTAATAACGTCCTCTTGTTCAATGACTAGCGATTGATAGTAAATAAAATTAATTTTCTGGAAAATTGTCTCAATAAATGTTAATGTTATTTTATGGTAATACAATGGGTAGCCACATTTTTTTTTTTTAATTTAGTCATTTTCATCAGTGCTTAACATGATTTTTTTTTTCTATTAAAATGTAAATGGATTTTTCGTAAAGTTTATTATTAGACAAAAAAAGGTTTGCCTAACAAAGGAAATAATTATCTTGGTTTCTTAAGAAGTCACTTTTTCTCTCTCTTATTTTATTTTCATAATTTTTTAGCTTAAATACAATTGATAAATTAAGTTGTTAATAGTAAATATATAGTAGTAACATAAATTAAGCTAGAGGGCGTGTTACAAATATACTTCGGAACTAGTTAAATAAAACTAGATGAATTATTTCCAAAGAGTACAGTGAACGAGATCGTTTACTAATAGGATATTGGCAAAAAGCCTATAGTAATCCGAGTGACTGAGACATAGTCTAGACTTAGACTATCTAATCTAATGGCCAAGATAGATTTGATCAATTCTATCTAGTGGACAAGATAAATGGCAGTCTCTACTCTGTAACTGACTATATATTACAAAAAAATAATAATAAATAAGAATGAAGATTTCTCACTACTCTTCGTCAATGAGTGAACGAGTGAAGTAAGAAAAAAGGTGTTCTTTCTTTTTTTCATCTGCTTATTATAGTAGGGATTTTCTGTAATAGGCGATGCGTTAAGTCGGCCCATCATAGCTGTTAGGGTGCGTGGTTTTTTTGAAAATGATGTAATTTTTCAAGTATATTGGACCCATTACTCGTCTTCTATTCGAAAAAAGCATTCAGTTTGGTCTTCTGTACGACGTGCTTTTTCCATAACAGCGTGTGATTAAGAATGACATGAACAGAATACTCGATAGCAATGTTTACTTACCTATCATCTCCAGTACCTACCAGAGTTTTATTTACAAACTATTATTACTAATTTCCACTCAAACAACAGAATTTTATTAGTAAGGAGGTATTTTGAGATATCAAGTGCAGTAAAGGATGGCTTGACACCGTTTAACATAACGTTATAATTATAACGAACTTCCAAAAAAACGCAAAAAAAATTTAAAATCATGATAAACAATACATAACTTCAAACAAATAAAATAAAAATCGAAACACCAAACATAACTAAAAACGAAATAAAACAAAAAACTATATTAAACAGAAAATGAAAACATATTGATGATTTGTTATAAATATAAAACATATCGAATTAGGGAAAATATAACTCGAGCAGTCAGTGTTTCTCAACATAAAAAGTATGCGAGGGAAATTTCACATGCGAGAAATGACGGGTTAATTCCTAATAAAGTAAAGACATATCAATAATGTTTATTTCAAAAAGTATAACAAAAATAAATAACATTTGAATACCGAAAACGTAAAACATAAAAAATGTATATTGTTTAAATACCGCTAAACGGAAAAAACATTGTAAATCCATAACGTTTTAATTATTTAAAACCTAAAACATAATAATATTGATAACGTTTTAACTGTCATAACAAAAAAACAAAATAAACAATTTTGATTCAAACCCTGAGTAAAGGACATCGCATAAGTACTATTTTAGTTTAAAAAGACTCGGAGGGTATTAAATAAATGGTAATGGAGTAGAAAATTTAACTGAATGTGCCCCATAGAATAATGAATCACAAAAACTTTGAATATTTTATATTCATCTTGGCGCCTGTTGTTATTTGGGCGGACTAAATCAAATTCCTCGAAAACATTGTACACATTATAATAATAATTTGTTACAATGTACATATAGTTAGTATCTGCATTTAAAATTCATTGAGCAAATATCATCATGTCTACTCTATGTGGAAGAAGATGATAGTATTGTGGGATTGGACCTAATTATATGTGAATAAATTGTCCTAAAAATGTAATTATTCACAAGCTAGGTATAATATAGATCGAGTTTTTTTTATATTAAAATAATAACAATGTTTAAACTAACATTAATAATCAAGATCCTTCGATTTATGTTTGATATTAAAAAAAAAAATTATATGTAATGTTCTATCAGTTTAAATTATTTGATATTTAACATTAGTTTAATGTTGCAGACTTATTTTGCATTTATACTAAATAAAAATACTATGGAACTAAAATAATTAAAAGAATTTCGTTTTTAAATTTAAGTAAATAAATTAAATGTTGAAGATAAAGAGAAGGATATTAATTATAATTTTACTAATAGTTACGATACTAATTGTCCAGAAACTATTAAAAAGTGTCATACTCTTGACCATTTAATCATTAAAAAAGATTGAAAAGGCTTAATATCATATAAGGTCATATAAAAAAATCTTTCAACAATTTAGATAGAGTTATTTAACTTAAATTTGTATTAGAAACCTAGTTTATTAAAAATATTTTATTAACTAAATTTTTTCATCCCCGTGAACCTAAAAACTTAATTTCATTGTTCATGAGTTATGACCTATATATTTCATTATCTTTAAAATTTATTACCGAATCACCGTTGGTTTATGCCATGATAATCGTTTTTTTTTTAAGTTTTATTTTTTTTTACTTTCAAACAATTTAATAGTTACAAAAAAAAATGCCAGTTTTGCCTCAGTGTTGTCAAGTGTTATGATGGATAGTACTGTACGCAACATCGTTTCATCCAAGAAGATTTTTTTTTTATGAATAATTAAGTATAATCTATCGT